ATGTTGAAGGCCTGCGCGGTGCCATCAAAACATGAGGAAAAGTCTAAACTCCTTAAGGGGGGTTATATGGGGGATTATATTGGGGAGTATCAAAGGGGGAGACTAGGAGTTTAGACAATGGGTCACATGAGGCACATGCACACAATGAAAGCGCTGTAAAGTTGGGAGACTGCCCGGCCGAAGGAATGGGGCTTCAACGTTGTTCGCCTCGGAGTGCTGCTGGAAGGCAGTTCAGCACTGGGTAGGCCCCTGGGATATTTAATATTTTCCCTAATGGCTTTAATAAGGGACCCTATATGCTAATATTTTTTCAAAGGGTTTTAGGGGCCAACCCAGAGCAAAAGGGCATACAGACATGCAGGCAAAGCGAAGTAATTTGGTAATGTCATCCAGATCAATATGGTTGGGAGTCCAATCTTGTACTTGTACTTGCTTATCTACGAAACCGTATGTGTTTCAACTGTGTGCTCATCTTTTCCCAGCTCTGCTTCATAGTTCAAGAGACCTGTTCCCATACCCTGCGGGTTTCCGCACACATGCGAGCTTTGCTATCTTTGTGCCTTGTGGATCCGTTCATCAATCTCGTTCTGATACCATCTGGAGTATGCCCAGTGGAGACTGCAGATGGATTGAGGGTGTGTTTATTGCACGCATTTCAGCTTCCTATCCCTGCATTTTGCATCCGCCCCAAACACACAGGCAGTCCTGAAGTGTGCCCCCTGAGCCGTATAATAGTTTCCTTTTTTTCCACTATCCCAATATAACTTAACCCCAATATGGCACAACATAACCCCTATATAACTCTAATATAACCCTGTGTATGGTGCATCTTACCAGAGTTGTCCTGCCTGGTGTTGAGTCGAAGCTTAACCTTGTGATTTAGTGATGTTGCGTGGTCAGTCGCGTGTTATCTTGTCACGCAATTGCCAATAGCACAGCGCTTTGAGTTTGCAACAGGAGAGTGGAATGCCCAAAAGATGTGCAACATAAGTTTAACTTGTGTAGGCACAGGGGAACAAATAGCACATACAACCCATATAGACCCTATATAACCCCAATATACCCCCTATGTAATCCCCAACACAACCTCTCTATAACCCTATATAGACCCCTAAACCCTAAACCCTAAACCCTAAACCCTAAACCTGAAGCATGGGAGAAGCCCTTGGCTCCATGAGCTGTGAAGGGCGCGGCCAAAGATGGCCGCGCCAAAGTGTGGTTATACCGGGGTTATATAGAGGTTACATTGGGGTTACATTGGGGTTATATTGGGGTTATATTGGAGTTATATAGGGTGATATAGGGGTTAGCATAGGGTTATATAAGGGTTATATTACGGTTATATTGGGATTAAAATCTAGCCTTTGCCACGACTTTGGCAGCTTCTACCAGCTTGGCATGTTACCCAACGGCTGTCAAACAACATCCGCCCCAAACACAAAGGCAGTCCTGAAGTGTGCCCCCTGAACCCTAGTTTGCATTTTACTTTCCATTATCCCAATATAACCCTATATGACCCCAATCTATCCCCTATATAACCCCTATATAGCCCTATATAACCCCCAACATAACCCTTATGTAACCCTATAGAACCCCAATTAATCCCACACATAACCCCTATTTAACCCTACATAGCCCCAATATATCCTCTATATAGCCCAATATAACCCATAAAACGCCTAGATAATCGCCTCGGCATTTGTAAGGATGTGGCCAGGAGTGGAGCCCAGGCCTAGACAAATTGACGAGAGCTCCTGGATAGAATTGGATTGCTGTCATCTTCGCAGCAACCTTCTGGGTTGCTGTTAAGTTACTCTATACTCTCCCCCTATAATGGAGAATCAAATGGAAAAAAAGAACAATGAAATGGAAACTTGGGGAGGGGAATAGAGGGGTTTAAGGAACTTAAATTAAGTATATGTTGTAACTAATGGGGTTTCCTCAATATAGTAGCTTAAATTAAGTTCCTTAACAGCAACCCAGCCTTTGTGGAGCAAAGGGTATATTCCTGATGTATTCGGGGCTCAACTGAGCCTAAGCATGCCCCCTTTCTCAACTGAGATGATCAGCAATCTGGGTTGCTTTTAAGGAACTTACTTTAAGTTGCTATAGAGGGAAAGCCTATGAATTACCGTATATGCCCATTGTGGTATCTTAATTGCAGTTTCTTTTCAGCAGCCCAGCAATTTTTAAAACCTTGGTCCAAGGCTACCTGAAAAGGGTCAAGCTGATCACCCAGAAGCTCGCAGATAAAGGCGTCTACACCGTTGCTGACCTCCACCAGGCAACAGTTGCCTTTTAGTTATGAAAGCTGCTCGTGACAGCTTCGTTGACATACCTGAATGTAGTGAGCTGCAATGGGGTCCAGGGTCCGGCGGGGGCCTTAGGTGTCCTGAAATGGCAGGCTAGACCGCGCCGAGGGCGGGGATTTGGGGATTGCACAGACAGCATCTTTTTTTGAAGGATTTCAGACGCGTGGGGGTTTTCTGCAAGCATTAGAGAGGATGTTGGGGCACCTTTGGATCCGCATTTCGAGGGGTTCCTGGGTGATTTTGGTCCCTTTTCAGGTATCTCTTTTTCAAAGGTATATTCCGTGCGTTTCGGTCCTCATTTTAGGGAGTGCTAGCTGGCATAACGTGGCATTCAGGAGCAACAAGCTTAGTGGAGACTTTTTTTGGGGACTTGTGTGCGTGCTGAGCTTTCGTTTCTGCCGCTGGCTCTCTTGCTGTGGTTGCTACATTGACCACAAGCCCATAGCAGGTGTTGTTTTCCTGCATGCAAAAGACACTGATTCATGAGTATGTGACGCTGCCGTATGTGTAGCTTGTCCACATTTTCACAGCAACGCTAATACCAATAATGATGATAATATAACAATAACAATAATAAAAATAATGATAGCAATAATAACAATAAAAATAACAATAATGATAACCATAATGATAGCAATAATCACAATAAAGATAACAATAATGATAACCATAATGATAGCAATAATAACAATAAAAATAACAATAATGATGACAATAATGATAGCAATAATAACAATAAAAATAACCATAATGATGACAATAATGATAGCAATAACAATAAAAATAACAATAATGATAACCATAATGATAGCAATAACAATAAAAAATAACAATAATGATAACCATAATGATAGCAATAACAATAAAAATTAACAATAATGATAACCATAATGATAGCAATAACAACAAAAATAACAATAATGATAACCATAATGATAGCAATAACAACAAAAATAACAATAAAGATAACCATAATGATAGCAATAACAAAAAAATAACAATAAAGATAACCATAATGATAGCAATAACAACAAAAATAACAATAATGATAACCATAATGATAGCAATAACAATAAAAATAACAATAATGATAACCATAATGATAACGATATTCAGCACCTTGAGGACTTGGGCTCTGCTCATTTTTGTGGCGAAGGCTTTCCAGAGGCCAGAGTTTGCTGGCTGCCCTTGTGGTTGATAGCTCTTAGCGCCAAGAGTGCTCCTACAGGGCACTGTGGGAAGATGCCACGCAGTTTTGGGTTTAGAGTTTAGGGTTTAGGGTTTTAGGGTTCAGGGGCTGGTAGGTGTTTTCTAAAATTGGCCATGACCAGCCTTCGCATATTCAGAGGGTTGAGGCAGGATTGTTTGGCCCAGTCATGGCACTTTGGAAAACAGGCCAAGAAGAACATGTGGGTGGTTGTCAAAATTATGGCCCCTTCTTGGATCCCTGTTATAATGCGGTACCCAAAAAGGGATCATAATTTTGGCAACCACCCATGCAGTGAGCAAGCTTCAAGGAGGGTGAAGTACCACCATCTTTAAATCAGGCAGCCTGGCTTTATGCCATGATTGCCTATGGGTTACAATATTATTATAGTATATTATCGTAGATTAGTAGAATGCATTATAATATATACTATTACGTATGCGATAATCGTGATGCTTGAAGCAAAGTACACGCACGCCGTTCTGACGGCTGACATTCATCAACTGATTTTGCAGTCGTGTTGCGAAGGCCAAGGACCTTTGTCAGGGCTGGTCATAATCAGCCTCTTCCGAATTTACAAGCTCAAGCTTGAAGCTGAAAGTGGAACTTTGGAACTGTGGGGCTCCTCCAAAGAGTGCACTTGCCTGTGGGCCTAGGGCCCTCAAAGGAATTCTTCTAGACCTGAGAGGAGGGTGGCCACGCTACATGGGGGCCACACATGTAAGACAGTGTGCTTCAATCTTGAAAGTGCGAGAGTGTTGAAGGCAAGCCTGCAGACTCCTTTCACAACATCCCACGCGTGACACATGCGGTGCACCTTGGGGCGAGCATCATGAATGAGCAAGAAACGATGGCAGATATGAGCTACAGTCTAGACTCCCTAATACAGGGGAGTATATAGGGGACTACTTTAGGGGGTTCTTCAGGGGGATAAAAGGGGTTTAGACCATGGCAGATATAGGGAAAGTCACGCTTGCAGCGAGGCTTACGTGGATGCCTTGCTGAAGGACCCGCAGAGCCGCATGGCTCAGGCCTGGTACACAAAACAATCTGGGGGTTTCCCAAAGTTAGGGATACCATTTTGGGGCTTCATAGGCGTTTTATAGGGATATATATATATATATGGATTTATAGGGTTGAGGGTTTCCCCAAATTAGCGGTACCATTTTGGGGGTCTCCATGACAAGGACTATAGTATTTTGGAGTACTAGAATGGGGTCCCGTATTGACGGAAACTATCATCTTAGCATCATGCTGTGTTTTAGGCCTAGATCATGCTTGGCAGTTGTGCCGGGACTTTGCCTCAGCAGCTAGACTCATCTATGTTGCTGCAGATACCAGCTGGTCTCTCAGTGGTGGATGCCTGTTGAGGTCTTAACGGTTTGTTTCGACAATGGAGCAAGCAACGCATGCCTTGCCTGGACAGCTTTGAGTAACATTTCAAAAACCAGGTGGATCGCTTCCCAGCGCCGCTGGGCACGATGTCCCTCAATGCCTCAGGGTTCCCGCTCCGCGCAGACTGCTTGAAGAGGCTTATGGCCAGTCTCATGACACGCTCGCTGCTCGTCTATGCTCCCAGCTGGCATGCAACAGCATACCCTGCAGAGCTGTACAGAGATTTTTGACAGGATTCGCAATGATCCTTGTCTATTAATTCTGAAGCATGTGGGGTCAAGAAGATTGCGTTTGAGTCTGGAACCTGGGGTTTGGCCAGGCTCTTCAGCGAGTACTACAGCACTTTTCAAGTCGGCGCTCTCTGGGCCGAACTTTATCGCGAAGGCCCAGGGCTTGGAAGGGATTGCCGTTAAGTCTTGATTGGCTCCCCTGACTCACTGGCCAATCTCAGGATCTGAGCTCTACCAGGGTTTTCTTCGCTATTGGACTGCCGTGGCGGAAGAGTTCAAGGATGGTACCTTGGTACAAACAGAAAATGTGATTCTAGGGATCCTGTTCAGAAGGATGAACCGCAGCTGCTCGCTTTTGAGCTGCTGAATGAGCCCTCTGGCACCTGCCTGGAGGCAGACTTCAGAACTGTCTTGGAGTTTTGATGTTCAGAGCAGAAAAGTGCCCACTCAATTTTCAAATCGCTGTTAGAGGCACACACTGCTTTGGACTGCCTCCTCACCGGCGAGGCTTGATGTGGATGTGCAGCTTGGTTGTGCTGAGTCCCAATCCGCCGCAATCTCACAGTTGAAGGTGGTTTGCCCTGCCAGTTCTAGTGGTGTTGTGTCAAGCGCAGGCGATGCCCATACGCTTCAGTGATAGCGTTGAGGCCGCGAGCTACAGAAGCACATGCCGTTCTTTCATGAGGGTTGGCATTCACTTGGCTTGAGACATCATTTCCGAACGCCAGATTCTAGCGCTCGTATTGGGCGTTGATGTGCCAATTTTGCGTACAGTTGGTGAACGCAACAAATTGGCAAGTGGTGGGGCTGTCACAACGACCTGGTGCAGGCAACGAAGCTTATGCCGCTCTACCAGGCAAGGCGAATCTACAAGGTTCCTGAAAATATGTTTCAACTTCTGTTACCAATAATCCCAATATTTAGCTGAAATTAAAATGTCTACTGGGGTTCCAAGTCCCTTAGAGGAATGTCTTGGGTTGGTTTGAAGAGGGCTGTGCAGTGGCGTGGCGCGCTTCTTGATGGTGCTGCCACCTTTTGGGTTGCTGTAAGGGAACGTAAATTAAGTTATCATAATGGCTAGAGATATATATATATATATAGTAATTAAAATGGTTTCCCCAATATAGTATTAAGTTTGTTAACCCCAAGCCCTAAACCCTATATGTCCCTATATAGCCCTATAGAATTACCCCGCATACATACCCTTATTATAGTAACTTAAATTAAGTTCCTCAAGTCAATATATTCCCCCAGTTTCCATTTCATTTTCCATTTTTTCCATTCAACTCTCCACTATAGCCCTAAGCCCTAAACCCTATGTACCCTACCCCACACCCTAAACCCTAAACCCTAAACCCTAAACCTTAAGTAAAGTTCCTTAGCAGCGACCCAGCCTTCTTGCGCCAGGCAGCGGCCCGCGCCATCCGTGGTGCTGGAGCTCCCCAGGTTGGCTTTGAGACCTAGCAGTTATTCTTACTAATACGTTTAGGGTTTAGGGTTTAGGGGGGGGTAGTACGAATAGTAAGAATAGTACGAAGAAGAAGGAAAGTAAGAATAGTAGTAATAGTAATCATAGTGCTGCTCGTAATGATCGTAATAGTGATAATAATGATAGAAATAATAGTAGGACCTAGGACAATCCGAGTCTGTGTGCTTCAGCCGACATCAAGCCCTCAAAACTTCTTACAGTTTCTTAAAGGGGGTTATATATTGGATGATATAGGGGACTACCACAGGGCTGGTTAAGGGGAATACTAGAAGCTTAGACTATAACTCATATCGCTTTAGTTGAACTGGTCAGGTTAGACCTGATGCTGCTCTGATGCAACATTCCAACATGTTGCACTATTCCGAGTTTATTGTCGGGTTCTTTGTGTGTGTCTCCGAAGGTTATCCTGTACGAGCCGACGGTGTGGCCCAAAATTGGGGCCCCGGTGCCTTTGCAGTTGAAGTTTTTTTTCGTGGAAGGAGCTGAGTAGCAGCGAGCAGACCAATTGACGACCTCAAGAGACGTTGCCCCAAGAGAGACTTTGTAGTTTCCCCAAATTAGGGGACCTCCATACAGATCTCAAAATACTATAGTCCTTATTATAGGCGCCGCTACAATGGTACCCTAGTTTTGGGAAACCCTAAATTCTATGTATAAGCCCCTATGTAATTCTAGTTTCCATTGCATTTTCCATTTTCTCCATTACTCCATTATTGGGGTAATGACCCTAATTTTGGGAAACCTAAGCCCTAAACCCTAAATAGTAGTTTCCGTTTCATTTTCTTTTCCATTTGATTCTCCATTATTGGGGATTATCTCCCTACATACCCCCATATATCCCTTGAAAGGCACCTAGGGTTTCCATTTCATTTTCCGTTTTCTTTTCAATTTGATTCTCCATTATTGTGGGTAAAATCCATAATTTGGAGGCAAGCAGATGCCCGGGCTTGATTGCTCAAGATGAACTATAGTCTAAACTCCTTAAAGGGGGTTATATAGGGGATTATATAGGGGACTACTATAAGGGATATTAAGGGGGATACTAGGAGTTTAGACTAGAGCTCAAGATGGTGTCAAGGTCTTCCCAGGACCGGCTTTGGGAGATGACTCCCAGCAGGGACTGGCCTACCACATCTATTGTGCTCCAGGCCGTCGTCTCAGCTTTTTAGAGGCTTCTCTGGACTTTGGATCAGAGGCTGCAGCCTGCGCTTTCCGAATAGCGCTTAATTTGTATTTGGGCTTTAGGGGTTTTAGTCCCCGTTGGGTTTTGTCCCCTTTGGGTTTAGGGTTTAGGGTTTAGGGAAACTTAGTTTGCATTCCTGCCAGGGGATGGGAGCAATGTTGCAGCCGGCTTGGTCTGTGACGCAGCGCAGACCATCTTCGAACCGCGCTCAGGTGTTCTTGAAGACAAACGATGTGCTCACATTGTGGGATGCCCTAAGCCCTAAATAGTAGTTTCCATTTCCTTCCATTATCCCAATATAACCCCAATATATTCCTAATATTATCCCCATCAGTACATTTTTTCCTGTGATGCTCTCCTTGTAGACATTCACCTTGAGAGTCCAACATCTTCAGACATGAAACGGCAACCACAAATTCACCATAAGCTGGGGATGCACAGTATCTGCGTGCATGCATGCCCTTGCGGGTGAAAGTAGCAGAATGGCTCAGCACTTGGGAGTCCGTAAAGGTGAGATCGCTTGTCAGGGACAATTGCAGCCTGAACTTCCAGCCCAAGCCTGCATGCTTGGCCAGTCTACACCAAAACGCATGGCCCAGCCACAGCCACAGCAACGCTGCCTAGGACTACGCTTACACAGCACAGCATCATGGGTCTCATTGGTCGTTGTGTTTCCACTCTGCGGCTGGCTACCTCCGCAAAACACACTCCAAACTCTTCTTCTGCTTGTCTTCTGGATGCCACTTTGCACATCTCCGATTTTTCCTCATCGATTCAGCCTCTGCCTGCGATCTTGCACGGTCTCGCCTACGGGAAAAGCTCCGCCCAGAATAGAGTTGGACAGACTTTTCAGCTGCACTTTGAAGTGCAAGAGGAGGATAAGAGACGGTCGGTCCAAACAGCGGCACGAATCCCAAAGTGACCCTAGTTTTGGGAAACCCTAAATTCTATATATAAGCCCCTATATCATCCTGGTTTCCATTTCATTTTCCATTTTCTTTTCCATTTGATTCTCCATTATTGTGGTGAAATTCATAATTTGTGCTCCCAGGCCAGCTATCTAAGGGTGATCAAAGGTTGCTTCTTCCTGGTACAGCTATGACTAAGGAGCACACCTTCTATCCTTTCCTTCGCAGCCACAAGAGCCTTGTGGGCTTCATGACAGAGCCTCTTCTTCAATGTCGCTGACACTGCCTGTGCTGCCCCATATTCACAGTGCTTTGGTTGGTAGGTTTGAGGTTTGGCCACAATCCAACCACTTCTGCATGCTTGCTGAGGCGAAGTAAGCCATTAGTGTTGCAGTTTGATGCCCGGCGGCAGTGTAGCTGAGGAATTCGGTGCAGTTGGGGGTAACCGCCTGGAGCTAGTGCATCTTACTAGCAGCTTGGACAAGATTAGGGAGGGGCTAGTTCTAAAGAGGTCACATGCTTGGCTCCACATGCTGTATTCAGCCAAGATCTTTTGGAAGCTGCCGACGAACATTTGCAAAGCTGGACATATTGGCAGCTGAAGAAGTTCAAGGATTTCACAACAGTTGCTTGGTGTGAGATCATGACAGATGGTCTTCTCCAGACATGCAACCTGCATGGAGCTGCCAAGTCGGCAACTCACATGGGATGTCCTAGCACATAGTGCAAGAATGAGCCTGCGTTGAGCCTGAAATCTGAGGCAAACGCACAATATAATCTACTATTAAAGTTATTTTCCATTATCCCAATATAACCCCAATGCACTACAGTAGTTTCCATTTTCTGTTCCAGTGTCCCAATATAACCCCAAT